TGCATGTGTGTGTGTGTATAAATATAATATTATATATATATATATATATATATATATATACATAATATATATATGTGTGTGTGGGTGTGGGTGTATATATTATTATTATTATTATTATTATTATATATATATATATATTGTATATGTATGTCTATATATTATTTATTAATTTATTTATTTATATGTATATTTATTTATTTATTTTGTATATTATATTTGTTTCCACATATGTACATATAAGTCAACGTGCATTCGATAGATGTGCGTGTAAGATACAAGTTCAGTTGTTGTCAAGTATCATAAGAGTATTCAGTGTTGTAGTGTCTTGCAAGTGAGTAAGGAGCGCTCAGAAAAGAGCACGGATGTATTGTGAGAATTTTTAGAACGACTGACACCGAAACCAAAATACATGCTGTGGATCTTGGAGTTTTAGGGATTCTGAGGGTTTAAGGTATTTGACCAGGTTTGTCTTTGCACGTCTGGCGATTCTTCCGCTTCAGCAACCAATTTAAAGATGGGAACCCATGGGCGTGACTCACGCTTTGTTTATCCATTATTCACCATGAGGTATAAGTGTTTCATCAGATATGCAGTATCCTGCTTTACAACAGTGTCGAAATATATGCGAAAGTTGTGATAATTGGTGTTTACTTTCCGCATTTGTCTGTTCCCTTCTTTTTGTCAACTCTGCGCTGTGGAAGGAGCGAATATATCAGACGACAGGAGTCATTACTATGTAGTACCGCAAGATAACCGGCGATTACCCACAATCGCTTCACCCTGATTCCTCGTTGAATGTTCACTATTAAGATCTATCAAGCGACAGAAGCCATTGTTATATACTATCGCCATAAAAGCGGTGATTACCTATAGTAGCCAGTTCATCAGATTTGTCTGATTTCTCGTTAAATGTCTACTATTACTATAGATCAAATTCGCAAACGCCATTGTATTATAGCACCGCAATATAATCATTGGTTACCTACAATAGCCAGGTCATCCGCTTTGTCTGATTCCTCGTTAAATTCCCACTATTGCCAGGCCCGTGGGCCAGGTGTTGGGTGAAGTTTGGCTACGATCCCAAAACTGACCCACGCGCGAAATGGTGGCAGGTCGCCGAAGTTCGGGTTCACCGCAAAATGCCGATATTAGAGGAGTGTAAGCACAACCCAGCACCTTCGCATGTTTATATGGATGGCCAACTAGCGTCACAGAGACAGCTGAGACACCAACTATGCGATATACACAATGACCAGGTCAAGCGCATGTGTGAAACGGTATGTGAAGCGGATGGTATCATTGTATTTTGTGCATGAATTCGTCTATACATGTTGTGTATATATGTATATGTACACAAATATATAGATACATATATATGTGTGTGTGTGTGTGTGTGTATGTATGTATGTACGTATATATATATGTATGT